TTTTAGGGTAATGATCCCCTGCCCACCCTCAACCTTGCCCATTCGAGTTCAGCCTTCCCTAACCTGCGGGTAACGCGTACGGCCCCGTGAAAGTTTTTGACGGGTAAGTTACGGGTAAGTTAATATCTCGGGAACCTCGGAGTCTAGGAGGCTGAAGTTTTACGGCAATGACCTCCTGCCCACTCTCAACTTTGCCTATTCAAATTTAGCCTTCCCTTACCCGCGGGTAACACGTACAGCCCCGTGAGAGTTACTCACGGGTAAGTTAATATTTCGGGAACCACGGAATCTGGGAGGCTGAAGTTTTAGGGTAATGACCCCCTGCCCACCCTCAACCTTGCCCATTCAAATTCAGCGTTCTCGCGCTTTCGGTTATCACCTACGGCCTCGTGAAAATTTTGGCGGATAAACTATTAATTCGGGAATCATGGAAAGATATTGATCCTTCAAGGTTCCGAATTTAGCTTTTATACGCTGGTTGCAAAAAACGCATTAAAATGCTCTTAATGAAAATATTTCGCTACTCTTTGTCTTACTATAAATCATTTGCCACAAATGCTGAATTGTGTGAAGAGCTATTAGCATGGGTATCCTGTGTTAATGATGTTAGGGGAGTGCTCCAGTACGACGTGTGTAACTCTGTTATGCCCTTCGATCCCAAGCTGCACGCCTTCTAACTAACATACACTAACTGTTCGATGTATGTGCACCATCACTTCAAGAGAGCTCCAAAAAGTCCGAAGTACAGCACTTTTCCATTAGCGACCGTCCGCAAACCTACCAGTGCGTCTTCCTATATAAAGATTGTATTGAAAACCTGATAGGCTCAATATTTCAAAGAACTAAGTATTGGAAAATTTGGAATGCAACTAAAATGCTAAAGAAAATAATGAAATTGACAACGTTTAAAAGGTTGGAGCAAGACGGGGTAAGACGTACCGCATGTCTAATTTGGTCGCAGTGTAGGCCAACAAAGAAAAAACAGTCGAATTTTAATATTTGGTGGAACTCAAAAGAGCCATTTAGCTATGTCAGATAAGCAAACCGGTATTTAAGATAGGTGTCGTCTGTGTTTCATCCCTGAACTGTAGACACAGACGGCTGAATCGCTGCGAAATGGGGCGGGATTCATCAGTACAGTACCCCATTTCGTCATGTTGGAGGGGACTAAGACCGTAGAGAGTGGATTTTTTCTCGCATGCGACTGAAATATTGAAGTAAAAAAAAAAACTTACAAGGTGCGGTGTAAAGTAAATCTCTCATTCGCTCTGCCTCAACTGCGATGAATGATGCGAGAAAGAAGCGGAGACGATTGACGGGCAATGACTGAAGTATTCGCTGGACAACGCTATTGACTGCTGAGTGATTGAGAAGGTTCCATCGACAGAGCATCTGGAATTTCGAAAATTTTTGACTTACCAAATCTTTAACACCGTTCCCACAGTTCGTTATACAGCTAATTGTAATATGCTTCCTCCGCCCACCCTCTCCCCCCCTTTACCCCAGTGGCACGGGT